CTCATGTACTTAGCTCAGAGAAAGCTACATGTGGTTTGTCTAGGTTTTTGGAAAATAATATTTAAAAATGCTTCTTTTGGTGGTGCTTTTATTTACTATTTGTGTTATGTTAAGTCAGAGATTTGCCTTTTAGGTCTGTGGCTTTACGTTTAAGACTAAATGATTTGTGCCAAGTTTCTAGCCTGTAGGCCGGGGAGTGGTTCTGGCCGTGCTCTCTTAGCTTTGAATAAATTTGTCTAGTACATTTGATAATACTTATTGAATGAATATATATATCCAGTTTCAATTTCATTGGGGTCCGGTGGGGCTAAGGATGTAGGCCATCTGCTTATTCTTAACCGGAATGTTCCTGACTCTGTGTTTTGTTCCAAGACAGCCACGTTGCCCTTGACTTTCAACATCTCTGTTTATGGAAAGTTCAAGGAGTCTGAACTAATCATCATTGTCTTCAATAGAAGAGATGTAAATGGATTTCAGTATGCTCAATAGGGTTTAGAGGATTTACATGGCTTACAGTCTCAGAATTGACTGCTCTCCAGAAATACTTCAAACAGCCACAGTGGAGTGGTTGTGTAACTACATTCAGCCAACGTCATTGTCATAGTTTGCCCTTCTGTAAGTAACTGTGCACGTTCCCTGCAGCGCATGGTGAGAACACCTAGTTCACCGATAACGTTGCCAGAGCAGATTCTTTCGGGACAGTTCTTTGCCAGGTGTCAGTCCTGAGAGTAAGGAAGAGAAAATGACCCTCAGAAAAGCTGCCAGGCTGTATGTAAGTCGTGGAGTCTGCTATTCCTTACCACCTAAATCTAGTGAAATAAAAGTTTGTAAATTGAAATAGCTTTAGAATTCCTTAAACTTAAAAGATTTAATGTCACACAGAACAACCCAGTTAACTCTTTGACTTTTTATTTTTAATTGTACTTTAGATGAAGGTTTACAGAACAAATAGTTTCTTATTAAACAGTTGGTACACATACTGTTTTATGACAATGGTTAACAACCCCACGACATGTCAACACTGTCCCTTCTCAACCATGGCTTCCCTATTACCAGCTTTCCTGTCCCCTCCTGCCTTCTAGTCCTTGTCCCTGGACTGCTGTGCCCCATTAGTCTCGACTTTGACTTTTTCAATGAAAAGAGCACTTAGCTTAATGGGAGGAAGGCTCTTTTATTGAAGAACAGGCTGTGAAACTATGTTCTCAGAGCCCTCTGGGAACTTTTATACAGTTTGTGTGTGAGGAAGATAGTGAAAAATTATGAGTAAAAATTTTCTTAACATCCAGGAAGTCAGTTTGAGTAGATAAGGAAGCTGAGAGGTAACAGGAAATAAAAATATGGTCTTCAGCATTGAAATACAGTATTTGGTCCAGTGTGATACCTAATGTACTTCAATTCTATTTGAAAACATTAAATGTTTACTTTGTGTGCTGTGGTAAAATTTGGTACTTAAGAGGATACATGGGTTCAGAATACTGTTGTTTTCCCTCAGATCATCTTTGGAATTAAGCAGGGTATAACTATATACTTTAGAAAGGTGTCTTCCATCTGGAATCCTTCAGTCTAGTGAAACTGGCTGATGTATATGAAATGAGAGCAAGAACTTGGACCGAGCAGTGTGTGGGAAAGAGGGATGCTCTCAGGAATGGATTTGTAAACTGAGCCTTGGAGTCCTTGGAAGGGACACTGAAGACCTTTCAGGTGACCCTTCACTTAAACGTTGCCAACCATCAGTGGTCCAGCTTGTTGAACATGTCTAACCATGGTGCCAGCTCTCTCCATCTTTGGACAGCTGAGTGTCAGGAAGCTCTTGAATATTAACCTAAAATCTGTCTTCCTCTTCTTTCCCCCATTTGTCCGTTTCAGCCTCTTAGAATCCTAATAAAACGTTTCTCTCTTGTCTTTGTGGCAGCCCTTCAGTATGAAAAGATAGCAGTCTGTCTCCTGTCTGTTAAATAATTTTCAGCTCTGGTTATTTCTTGTGTGACATTCATTGAAATTCCGTCACCTTCTTAGTTATTTTCTACTCAGTGACTTCCAGTTTATAAACATTCATTTTAAATTGTGCTTTCAGTTACCCCAGGTGTGGCTTAACCAACATAGAGTGTAGCAAGACTGTATCCTGGGATATATGGAAAGGCACAGAACAACCAAGTCTGAGCCCTTGCCAGCTGAACACTAATACAGGTTCCTGAGAGGTCTGCGCATGGATGTGACGCTCCTGACCCCGGTTTACACTTACTTGTTAATTGGGGCTGGATCTGCTACTTGTGACAGATGGCAACACAGGAGCTTCTTTTGCCTGGAGCCTGAGGAGTAAGCAGTTAACACCTCGCTCCTTTTCCTGCCTTCTTCTCTGTGGTGTCAGGCCCTTAAAGAGTGGGCCCAGAGCCTGCTGTACCACAGTAACTGGGTGTGAGGAGTGGATGAGCAGAGATGACCCTCGGTGAGCTCCTTCCCACGCCCTAACCACTCTGACCCCTTAGATGTCCGGGGTTGGTGATGACTGTGTGTGAGGTGCGTATTATTACCCCTGTCCTGTAGAGGTAAACGTGAGGGTGCAGGAGAAAAGCTGTATTGCTGTTAATGCAGCCTGCTTTTGTTTCATTAATTTACAGTGCATTTTCTGATTACAAAAGTAATAATAGTAATGCTAGCCCCCACCCCCAGAAAATTCTGTTAATAGTTTGATCTACTCTGTCATCAAAGAGATGTGTATGTATGTGTGCAGGTATGTATAAAAGAGTGTTTTTTCTATGATAAAATATAAAAACATATAATAAAGCAATATATAATGAAAATTTTATATAAAATGCATTTACAGTTTATATAATAAAATATGTCATCTAAACCAGTAATCTGTGTTGTTTAATTTCTGTATATGATATAACATAAAAAGAGATGCCCGTTAGCCTTTGATTTCCCATCAGTGCTTACCAGGACTGCAGAGTTTCTCCACTCCAGAGTTACAGAGGTTACCATTCACTCTTACAGCTAAACCGTGTTTCACCCCTACTCCTGCCCCCAAATATTGCAACTTTACATATGTATTTCTGGATCCAAGTGTAGGAGCATCCGTTTATCCCTAATAAATTCCATCCACTTAGGTTTGAAGACACTGTTGCTGCAATCAGTTGAGCTCCTTTTGTATGCTAGGAACACGGAATTAAAAAAAAAATCGCAGTAAGGCAGTTGGGTTTAAATTGAAAATCGTGAGATATATTAAGGCTGTTAATAGAATATATAAAATAGAAAAATATATAATATACATATGAATATATAAAACTAATGTAATGTCTCATATTTTTATTTAAACAATACATGATTATTCAAAGAACAAAGCAAAAAATGAGTAGGGCTGACATTTAGTGAACACAGTTTCTATATGTTTTTCTGTGCAGGTAATAGCATGAACAAAAATAATGTCATAATTGGATCATAATGTACATGCTAATTTGGATCATATTATAAATGCTATTTTTATTTAAAGTTATTTTTCTTCAGTAGGAGAAAAAACTGAAACAAAACAAGGAATAGTTATACTTCATATAAGTGTTTGTTCAGCATAAGAGATATAGTTCTTAAAAGATACTTCTGAGATTAAGAAAGATATCAAACACCAAGGAGCCAGACAACGGTTCTTTTAAAAAAAACCTGAAAACCTTTTCATTTTAGACAGCCTGATCTGATGTCCTGCTATGAAAGGAAAGATCCTTGGAGTTCTCAGCCTTCTCCCTCCCCGCCTCCCTTTTCCTGATCTTTGTTGTGTCAAAATATAATTCTCAAAATGTTAGAAAACAAAACAAAACAAACGTGTATCTGTCCAAGTTTTAATTAACTCGTTAATGACAAATCTGACTCAAAGGGGGAAGGTATGGGAAATGATTCTTACACAGCCTGGGAGGCGTACAGACCGGTGAGAAGGAAGGCGGAAATAATATTGCTAAACTAATACCCAGCTGGTTAATGTCCTGTGGGACAGTGAAGCCATAAACTTTGGGATTATCTTCTCTACAGACAGAAACGACTTCAGTCTCTGCTAGCCAAAAAACTCATTTGTATCCCGGCAGTTTTCTACAGGTGAGCATTCAGCTTCACAAGCTGTAAACATCAAGGCCAGTGTTCCCCCAGACTCTTGAAGAGTCCGATGGCGCTTTAGGTGGGATTGTTAGGCAGTGATTTCGTATGGCTTTGAAGGTCACACAGTCATCTTTTAGAAAACCATTTTAATCAGGCATTTGTATTTATTGTTGGAAAGATGATTTGCATATTCAGCAGTAAAGTCCCACTGTTTAGTATAGTTCTGTTCACGAACAGATTCAGCGCTCGTGTCTAGTTTTCGTCATGGTTTTTGTCATTCCTCTATTTGTTATTTTGAGTCCTTCTTAGATTTGCTCTGTTTCATCATAAAATGATTTTTTTGTTCCTCAAGAAAAGTGTGTAAGTTTTTCTATAATTAAAAGTCTGCATATTACCTTTATATTTGGATGGGTACAATAGCCTCGAGTTATACTTTCTAATTATAGTCTAGCACTGAATGTTGAAAGTTTAATGCTGGCCTGATATATTCTCCTTTTTAGGTGGTTGACTTTTTTTTTTTTTTTTTTTTTCTGTTTACCCTTGAAGTTCAAGAGTTTAGTCAGGGAGACTTTAATCTCTGTATCTTGTCCTGTATCCGTACTTAACTAGTCTTATGCTAAATATCATAATATTATGGGACAACCTGTTTTAAGTAAAATGCATTTATTGATTAGTCTGCTACTACACGTGGGTATTTTTTCAGTATTGTTGGTAAGCCATTAGGACTGTAATACTGTAACATCTAAGATCACTAGTAACTAGTGAGAAAAAATTTAAATGTTTGCAAATATAGCAAGGTAAGAGGAAATCTGTGCCAATTTCTTTTCTAAATTTTAGTTTCATAATTATTGGAGTATAAAATTGTTACTTCTTTATTCACGACATCAGATTTCAGGATATTTTTCTTAACATCATATTAGGTGCAAGGAGCAAGTTTTCGAGGTTGGAAAGAAGTGACGTCTCTGTTTAATAGGGATGATGAACAGCATCTACTCGAAAGATGTAAATCTCCCAAGTCTAAAGGGTAAGTCATAAATGTTGAAAGAAAATGATCGTTTCATGAGAGATGTGAAATCACTCAGGAAGGTGGAAAATGATTGTTTTAACGTATAAATAAAGTTTAACTTAAAGCTGCCTTTCGGTTACTTGGTAAATTAGTTGTCTTTTCTCTAGTTAAAAATAGAAAAGATTGGTAAACTGTAAAAGATTTTAGAAAATTAAATGTATGTAAACAGGCATACTGCTGCTTTATTATAAATAGTTTGAAATTTTAAATAGTATGTTTAAAGTTGAAAATACAGGCTCATTGACTACCTCATGGTATTATTCACGGCATAGTTACCCAGTGATAGGAAGAGTTGTTTAATTTAGAAGAAGAATCTTGGTGACCCTAAAAGTAAATTGGAGGACAAGTGGATACCTTGGCAGTACCTTTCTGCATTTACCAGGCTAAGTGCATCTGACCGAACCCATATCCTTTTTCTCTAGAAGATGGTGCAAGTCAGTTCTCTCTGCTGTCAGGATGGTCTGTCATGCGTCAGTGCGTCTCAAGTCCAGCTGCATGTTAGAATCTTCTGGGGGCTTTTTAAAATACCTCTTCCCTGGCCCTATCTCAGATCAGTTAAACTAGAATTTTTAGGGGGAGGGCCTGGACACTGGTCTTTAAAAAATCGTTTCCCAGATGATTCTCATGTACAGTCAAGGTTGAGATCCACTGATCTAGATAATGACATTTCTATAGTCATTTTTGTTGTTCACGATGATCTTTCTTCATTAGAAGTATGCCTTCATTTCCTTTTTATAGTAGTGTGCTGAGTGTTAATTTTTAACAAATTACTTATTAGATGTTGAGATTAGCTAGCTGTATGAGTAACCCTATTGAAAATCTATTTTGGAAAACAGAGTCCTTTTTTCTTGATCTGGACCCTCGATTGTCATACATCTAGTTTCCTCAAGCCTAGGCAATGCCTTTCATATTGCCTGGAAAAAAATGGCCTTTCTGTAATTCTGTGTTGGTGTCTTCTTGTCGGAGAACTTTGCTTATATATTGAGAAATGGTATTCTGCGTAAAATATGGCATTTACCAGTTTTATTAACATGTGGCACTAAATTTCCTAATTAATTTTAGTATTTTAAATTCTACATATAGATTTGTGTAAACTTTCTAAACAGTTAAAACATCTTAAAAAAGAACCTTAAATTTATAAAAGTAACACAATTTGAGGCTCTTAAAATTATTGGATCACCAACACCTAACACTTTCATCTCCTGTAGACCGAATTTACGATTAAAAGAAGAGTTGAAGACAGAGAAGAAATCTGGATTTTGGGACAGTTTGGTTTTAAAACAGAATTCACAGTCCAAAAAGCCTGATGAGATTGAAGGTTGGGAGCCTCCAAAAATTGCTCTTGAAGATGCAGCCGCTGATTCAAGCGACACCATGAGCGACCAGTTGTCTTGGCCAGGCTGGGAAGATGATACTAAAGGCTCCACTAAGTATACCACCCTGGCCAGCTCAGGAAACAGCTCCCGATGGAGCATCAAGTCAGCCGGAAAGCTGGTCAGTATTAGACGGCAAAGCAAAGGCAATCTTACTGATAACTGGGAAGAACTGGAATGATACTAGATGAAAGAAAAAGTCCACTGCTTCCATATATTTTCGAACCAAAATTTGCCTACTCTTGCACCTTTGTATTTCATTTTATTAAGATTCTTAGAGTTTGCTGTATCATGGTGTTTTCCTTTTTCTTTTTAATTAGTGTATATCATTAAGTGGTTTAGTCTGTTTCTCACACTGAAAAGAGTAGAGAATCTACTGCGTGCCTGTATTTCACATTTGAATTTTTATTTTCATATGTTGACTTTTGAAATTCCCAAGCATACTGTGATTCCTTAATGAATATTTACAGGGGTTGTACATGTGATTGCCTTATTGTAGAAATTTCCATTTCTTACATAATCCATGTTTTGCTGAAACTGGAGATGTGAATATTTGAGGCCATCCTGTAAGATAATAGTCACGATTTGCATTTGCCACAAAACTGTTTTCATGCCATTCTTAGTTGTAGTTCTTCAATTGTTTTAGAATTTACACGCCTTTTTCTTGCATGCAACGCACATGAACAGTCCATGAAACACAAGAATGTAGCCGTTAAGCAGCTGCCTTCTGTTGTCGGGAAATTGCTGTCCAGGTGATAAAATGAATCTTCCAAAGGTTATGTTAAATGTTATTTAATTTAGCAAACTAAACATTTTCCTTATTAAATTAAAAATGCGTAGACAGATTAAATACTAGGAAAGCAAAGGTTATATTTGAAATAAAATGTCAATATTTAAAAAATGTATATTCATCTGTCATCTAGGAGGAGGAATAGCCTCTAGTACACATTGGATAGGTAATGTTTGGAGATTGTATTTTTACTTCTGAACTTTTAAATGTTGATCTTTGTTTTCTTCTAAATATTTACTTTCCTTATTTGTTTACAGATTAATTAAAGAATGCAGTAAAGTATGGATAAATTTTAGTAACTTGATCCTCTTAGTTTTGTTGGGAAAACAGTTTGCTTACTATAGAATGCAAACTGTATATAAAATAACTGGAAGTGCCTCTTTTCTAGTATACCCAAGTTTTTGTTTCTTCAAAATGAGATACTTGTGATTGATGTTAGGTCATAAGACGTATTTTTTTTTTTTTCCCCCACGTAAGAATAACTGATCGTTAATTTGAGAGCATCGCCCAGGAGTTTTTTCTCTGTGTCTGTCTTTCTGTCTGTCTCTCTTTCCTATTAAAGCTGTCTCTAGACTTGCTTATTGTCCTTGACAGTGGGAGCCTGTGTATCCCGTAAACCAGTAACGTGTGAGTCTGTAACAACATGGCTCTTATCAGCGGGTGGTGCACGTATCTGTCTTCTTAGGTAAAAGTGGTTTTAAAGAAAAGGTCTAATTTTTTTTTTTTGCTTAAAAACAAAATAAACAAAAAACCTCCAGTTACACTGTGCATTCCCCTCATGTAAAAACAAAACAACCCAAAAATGTTCTTGAATTGTTCAGTTTGTCTTCTGTGCTGTCTCATGTAACTCGATGTTCCATTTACCATTCCTGTGGAATATCTGAACACGCCCAGGGGCAAGACACATTGTATTGTAACATAGTATTTAAATAAACAAACAAAGATATATTTTTAGTAGAACAAGAAGTTTACTTGACCTAGCCTTCGGAGGGGGACATGTTTTAAGGGGTGTTAAAATACAAATTGCAGTTTATATTAGCACCTTGAGAACGTGAGGTTGTCTATGTTTCATAATGCAGAGGAAAGCTTATAATTTCTAATGTGATAGCGGAGTTGAAAGTCTTGTTTCCTCAGGTAAATAGTTTGGTATACAGACTATAACCAACAGTCTCCTGAAGGAAGTACTTCCTGTGATTGTACAAACATGAACTGTTTCAGGATTTATGCAGATGTTTTATAGCAGGGGGTGGGTTTGGGTTTATCTTTCGCTAATACTGTCTCGAGGCACAAGAACGTAAATAATACATTTGAGACTCTGAAAATGGTAGTGACGTGAGGAGGTTGGGACTGCTATGTCTCCCACTTTTGGGGAGTTCTGGATCCACTGACCAGCTGCGGTTTGTTAGGGCTGTCTATTGTCCTGTTAAGTGCCTGTAATTGACCTGGGTAATATATTTGTGATGCACAGTTGGCAAAATATCCTTTATAACATTGGTTCTCAAAATTTGAAGACAAAGCCAGATTGGGATTGGAATATGAACTGTAAATCAATTTTTTTTTCTTATCTACAAAGATTTATTAATGTAAAAATGAATTTTTCTTCTGTGTATCTGATTAAATTAGGATGATTGTGATTTTTAATATAAATATTTATTGGTGTGCTTTGAAAGCTAAATACTTTTTTTTCATGAAAGAAGAACTTACCAAAGTGAATTTCTTCATTATGTTCACAGGTTAATGAGAGAATGAAGTTTTGATCTTGCGGTTATGTTTGAATTCTGTGTACACACAAGGTCATTTACTGTGTGAAGAAAGAGTTATCTGTACTCCTTATGAAGTTATTATTTTTTAATAGAAAAGTGATTGGCTTCAAAGAAGGTGGGATTCATTCTTAATGCCGAGGTTTAAAAAAATAAAAATACTGTTTTTACCATCTTGCATTATTAGTTTGCATGATCATCGGCGTCTACTTAAAGGTGAATGCTTACGATGGCTTTAAGTATTCATTTAGAGCTGCTGGCATTTTTCTTAAATTTTAAAATGCAAACAATACATGTAAACTTTTTCATAAATAAATGAACAATTTCAACTTCAGTTACGATGTATCTTTCGCCTGTTTGAACTGCCGCCGTGAGCTGTTTTTCTGTGAATAAATGCCCGCTCAGGACTGAGGGTGCTCCCAACATGCACCTTTAATATGAAGGAGATGCTCGTAACGTACATCTCCTGGGGGGCACAGTTTAGCAGTGTTACTGAACGGGACTGGGCACGTACCCTGCTTTCTGTTTTTAATTCACTGTCAATTATTTAACGAGTTAGATCCTTAAGTTTTTACCCCCCGCATCCAGTTCATAAACAGTAAATACACTAGCGATCGTAGAATATTTTTGACATAATCATTTTTATCTCTTTAAATCATTACCATCTCTTAGGAAAAAAAAATCTCTTCTTCAGGTAACAGTGGCCTATTATGGAATGTAGTATGAATTTCCCTTAAAAACCGGATGGAACGGACCTTAAGTGCTTGGCTGCTAACGGAAAGGTTGGCGGTTCAAACCCACCAGCCACTCCTCCGGAGAAAGATGTGGCAGTCCGCTTCAGTAAAGAGTTACAGCCTTGGAAACCCTATGGGGCTGGTCTCCTCTGCCCTCCAGGGTCGCTATGAGTCGGAATTGATTCCTCGGAACTGGTGAAAAACTGGGTAACTAAACCATTGGACATGCCTTAATCATCAGCGTATTTCTAGAGTACAGATACTTTTGGAAAGATGTACAGTGGAACATTTGGTGAGAACATTGTATCATTTTCCTTCCTGGTAAAAATTTAATCCTAAGCGGTTTCTGCCTCTGTCCCCTTTGACTGTCACCTCATCACTGCTGGCGTCGCTGGAAAGCTGCTCACTTAACCTGGTTATTAAGAGTATGGAAATAGGGGTTTCACATCCTGTGTCTGTATGTGGTACTCCCCCTCCATCGGTCATGATCACCTGCTAGTTTCAGCCCTGACCACTCTCAGCCACCTCTCTCCTGAGGGGTCTCTGAGGTGGCCTGCCCTTGGCCTGGAGCTCCCCCACACTCGTCTTTCTTGATTCCCCCCACCCCCTCCTTTTCTAGTATCTCCATCCCATCTTACCCGCAATAGCGCCCCTTTCTTAACTAGAGACCACGCTTCTCCCAGCTTTTCTCCACTGGCTGCTTGCCCTGCGAACTCTCCCGCGTTCCCCTTTCATCACTGAAGGTTCCATCTCTCTTCAAGTGAAGGCTGACACGTCAAGCCTGAGCTTTGCCTCAGCGCTCACTTTTCTCTCTCCTGCCCTACTTTCGAAATTGCTGCAGGGTGCAGTGGGGAATTCTGCGGCACAGTGTCAGACTGTGTCCTGGCTCCTGACTCACGGACTAGCATCACGGATTTCCAGATAGTAATTTTCTGGCTGTGGTCATGGAATGGAACAGTCAAGACCAGCAGGCAGGACACTATTTAGTAAGCACTGAAGAGAGAAATTGGCTAGGATGATTTTTCTGACTGTCTTTTTTTCCTAAATGTTCAAAATAATCCACAGTTTGTTTAAACAGTGCTGTGTAACTGTCTTAGTCATCTAGTGCTGCTGTAACAAAGACCAGAAGTGGAGGGCTTTAACAACAGAAATTCTCCCACAGTTTAGGAGTCTAGAAGTTCAAATTCAGGGCGCCAGCTCCAGGGGAAGGCATTCTCTCTCTCTTGGCTCTGGGGGAAGGTCCGTGTTTCTTCAGCTTCTGCTTCCTGGTTTTTTGGCTATCTCCATGTGTGTTGGCATCTGTCTTACCCATCTCTCTTCTGCTCTCTTGTTTGATCTCTTTTATATCTCAAAAGAGATTGACTCAAGACACACCCTACACTCATCCTCCCTCATTAACATAACAAAGACAACCCATTCCCAAATGAGATTATAACCACAGGCATAGAGGTTAGGATTAACGACACATGTCTTTGGAGAACACAGTTCAATCCATAACAATAACCAAGAGAGCTTGCTGCTGCCGCCGCCTTTTTTTTTTTCCCTTTTGGTAGAAAAGTAGTTTTTGCACGACGGATGTGAGGCAGTAATATACTCTGAATAGGCCCCTTTCAGTTTAAATCATGTGCTAGTGAGGAAATAGAAATTGTTTCTTCTTTTTCTAGTATAATTTGTTGCTTCAAGTAAAAGTTTCTGACTAGGGTTGTAATTTGTGACATAAGCTAGTTCCTCCAGCATTCAGCTGGAATAAACATTGAGGCAAATTTAAAGTATAGTGATAAGTGATTCTCCTGATGGCTCAACGTTCTATAATTTCCTAATTGTTTAGAATCATGGATGTGAGACATTGCAGTGAGTTCTGAATCAGATTAAATTATGCTCAATTTAATTTTATGTTTAAGTGATTTATCTTACTCTGGTTCTTGAAAACCTAACAAAACCACTGCAGGGGCCTCTGTTAGATGATCCGATGATATCCAGCGGGAGCTGGGAGGAGGGTAAGAGTGCTCACTGTCTGTGTCCTTTCTTGTTTACATAGCACTTTTTTACTTTTAGTGTAATTCACAGCCTCTGAAGAGCGGCAGGGTGAGGTGGATACTCTAGACGGAGAGCGGGATGACTTCCTCTCAGAAGGCCTTGAAACCAGCCAGTGCAACTTGCCTTCTTGTCTCAGTTTTCAGTACTAGTTAGCTATCGGGAGCCCTGGTGGTGCGGTGGTTTAAGAGGTATGGCTGCTCACCAAGAGGTCGGCAGTTCGAATCCACCAGCCACTCCTTGGAAACCCTATGGGGCAGTTCTACTCTGTCCTGTAGGGTTGATATGAGTTGGAATGAACTCGACGGCAGTGGGTTTTTTTTTTATTTTTTATTTTTAGTGAGCTATTAAGAGAAGTTGCAAGTTCAGCAAGTTGAATGCATTGATTTTAAGTTTTAAGAAAAGCACTGCTTTGTTACCTATAGGCCTTTTATTTTATATTGTGGGGTAAGAAACCATGTTGAAATGAAAAATAACTTCAGCTAACAACTGAAAGGTGGTGAACTGGCTTTTGCCAGTTGTTGAAAAATGTAAAATTTCTACTGAAAGACTTCTTATTATTTTGAAAATATTTGAGCTGTGTTTAGTAAACAGAATGAATAGAGCCAGCTTGCTAGTGCTCAGAGTATGTGATTGAATTTGACAATTAGTGAGCATCCATTGATGGCTCACTGTTTGCCGTCAGCTCCACTTTGCCGTATTGAAGAAATGCCTGGGAGTATTAGTATCTAACATGTGTGAATGCAGGAAGGATTGCAGTGGTGATTCTGGAAAAGCGCCAGACTTCGATCCCAGCACTGCCAGTTAGGCATGCTGTAATCTCTCTGAGCTTTAGTTTTCTTATTTATAAATGATACCTGCTCAGAGGGTTGGGAGGATGAGATCAGTTAAAGCTGAAGGCTGTTGGTAAAGCTGTAAAATACTGAATACATGCAAGATTCTGTGGTTTTTTTCCTCAACTTACATTAGTCTTGAATAACTGTCAGTACAAGTCATGGAAAGAACGCTGCAGTCAGTCTTGTGTATTTAAAACACTTTAAATAGAAAAAGCTAAAGACAGCTGCTGGATTAGGGTGGGCCACGTGGATTGAGCTGTATGAAGTTGGTGCTTGTTAACCTTTCATATTAGAATTCAGTAGTTTAGTTTTGTTTAAAGAGACATAAAAGAAGTCACTGCCGTTGCATGCCCGTTTAAGCTGCCGGAGAAGACGGAGTTGTAAGTTTTGCGTGGTTGGTACAGTGACTAGTCTCCTTTAAGGGGAAATTGGCTGACATTTCTAACTAGCTTTAGGGAAGGAAACATACAGTGCTGTGAATGCAAACTGTACAGTTCTGTCCAAAACTTTCAGTAATGGTAGCTGGGCACCATCCAGTTCTTTTGGTTTCATTGCAAAGAAGGCAGGAGTTAATCAGCAGCTAGACTGTGTTCCAGTTCCTTCTCCGATTCCTAGTTCTCCTTTTCCCTCTGTTGGTCCAGGCGGATAGAGACCCATTGTTGTACCTTGGATGGCTGCTTTCAAGCTTTTAAGACCCCAGGCACTACTCACCGAACTAGGGGGTAGAACAGAAACTCTAAAAACAATATTAGGCCAGTTGCCTGGACAGTCCCTCAAAGCTATGACCCTGAACTTTCAATCCAAGAGAACTAACCCCGTAAGGTGTTTGGATGTACCTAAGTAGTGTCAGCAACTGCATCCCCTTGTATTGTTTTTGGTTGATGCTGTTGTTATTATATACAACACACCATTTGCCATTTCACCCTTTTTCTGGTGTACATCTTAGTGATACCAATTACATTAGTCAAGTTGTGTAGCTGTTACCCTAATCGATGCCAATTTTCTCATCACCATAAACACAAACTCACTACTTCTGGAAGACTGATTGCCTTCCTCCCTCCCTCCTCCTGCCCCAGGTAACCACTCATAACCATTGGTGTCTATATATTTACCTCTTCTTGCCATTTCATAGAACTGAGGTCATACAGTATTTGTCCTTTTGTGATTGACTTATTTCACTCAGCATAATGTCTTTGAGGCTCATCCTTGTAGCATGCATGAAGACTTCATTTCTCTTTATGGCTGAGTAGTATTCCGTTGCATGTATGTACCACGTTTTGTTTATCAGTTCATCCATTGATGGGCACTTAGGTTGTTTACACTTTTTTGCTATTGTGAATAATGCTGCAATGAACATAGGTGTACATATGTCTGTTTGTACCGCTACTTTCAGGTCCTTAGGGTACATACCTAGGAGTGGAATTGTTGGGTCATATGGTAGTTCTGGAGCCCTGGTGGTGCAGTGGTTCAGCATTCGGCTGTTAACCAAAAGGTCTGCAGTTTGAATCCACCAGCTGCTCCTTGGAAACCCTATGGGGCAGTTCTACCCTGTCTTACAGGGTCGCTATGAGTAGGAATTGACTCGCCAGCAATGGGTTTTTTTTTTCTTGGCTTTATGGTGGTTTCTATTTTTAATTTTTTGAGGAATCACCATATTTTTCACAACAGTTGTACCATTTTACATTCCCACCAGCAATGAATAAGAGTTCCAATCCCCCACATCCTCACCA